GGGGCCGGCAGGGCTGCGGGCGCCGGCGAGGGCAAGGTGGTGTGCAGCAGCCTGGAGCTCGCGCACGTCCTGCCTCCGGACACGCTGCCCAACCGCACGGTCACCCTGTGAGTAGCCCGGGGGCACTTCTGCGCGCGCGCGCCCCTCGCGCTCCGCTCTGGAGAGGGGTCCCGGCTTCCACGCGCCTTTGTGTGACCTGAGGCGCGTGTTGGGGGTAGAAGCCCTCCCGGGTTGTCGGACTGGAGTGCGGTTCACGCTGGGCTGGGGTAAGGGTGGCAGGTGACACCGCCTCCGAGCTGCCTCCCAGCTTTGCTAAAGTTTGCTCAGTAAAAGTTTGCGGGCGCCGCGCGGAGCCACGTGAGGATGCGAGTAGGAGTAGACACGCAGTCGGCTGGGTTCAAACTCATTCATCTGGCCTGCAGCGCCTGGGAGACGCGGGACTCCTTGAGAAGCGCTGGTGCAATTTCAGCTGCATTTATGTTTTCAGAATATCAAAATACCGCCCTTGTGGTCTGTGCCATCCCCAAGTCCCCAAATGGATCTCCTTGCCATTTGCTTTCTCAATTCTATTGAACAGAGATCCTTTTGACGTTCAGTTGCCGTTCATAGCCAGACTTATATTTGAGATCAAGCCCTGCATCTTTGCACCCCGTTTTATGGGAATTGAGCCATCCACTCTCTCCGAAGGATTAGATTTTCAGATCGAGTTTTCAACCTGAAAGGCAAAGTTTTAGTCTCAAAACTCTCTTTTGTGCTAAGATTCGCGGTTTAGCCCTTCTCTTTGAGCGGGGTGGTTGGCCTCTCTAACTCGATTTTATATTCCAAACTGATTCGGAAAGGTGTAAGCCTCAGTGTTTCTAATGGCTATTTTGCCAACTTGAAATCCGAGCCACCCCCTCCCTCCCCCCGGGCTCAGCGTTCCTCCATGTTGTTTTGGTTGGTTCCCTTAAAAAGAGTCCAGGCTCCTCCATAAAAACATGAGGGCATGGGCATCAACGTGACCGATGAAACAAACCCTAACACACACCATTTAATTACACCCAAGTGAGATGAGGGAATCCACGTGGAAGGGCCAGACATGGTATAAGCAGCTTTTGAAAAAAAAACCCAAACCAATCAAAAACAACAACAGCAAACAAATATCCTTGTGGATTCTTCGTTCGGACTAAATGTTTCACATAAAAATACTGTGCTTTTCTGTCAGCTCAAAGAGGCAAGAAGATCATTAGGATACAACTCTGCTTTGTTAGTTTCCATCATCATCACTTTGCCGTTTGATGATGCAACCATGCTTTTTTTTTTTTTTTAAAAAAAAACAAACAAAACCCAAACCAAAAACCAAACCAAAAAAGATTATTTGACATGGTTAGAGACACCTGGTGACCCTGTAGTAAGTTAGTGCTCAGCTAAGATGTGACAGTTACGAGTATATCTAAGTCATGTTTGAGTACCCACTTTTTGTAAACAATTCCAGCGATGCCAGATCAACGTCTTAATATTCTACTTTGCTGTTGCGGGGGAAAAAAAAATAAAATTAATGGGGATAGGGAAGAAAATCACCCCTCCCTGTTGAGTTAAAATACTTTGCACAGTTTTTCAGAATATAAAACCTGTTGCTGGCAAGTTGACTCAGACTCAAGGTAGCTTGTGTTGTCAAAGTAGTAGAACTGTTCTCTCTGGGGTTTTCATTGGCTGAGGATTTGCAAGTAGATAGCCAGACCTTTCTTCTGAGGGAACTTGAACCACTGGCCTTTTTTTTTTTTTTTTTTTACCAGCCACATGCGTAAATGTTACCATTTGATTAGTTTCCCTTTTTGCATTTGGAAGCTTTCTAGATACAAATAAAATTGGTAATGTGGAAAGAATGGAAAGACATTACAGTATAAACTGACAGATGAAGTTGGTTCAGGGAATTGGGTCCAGTTGAGGGAGGGGTTTATCACTTTATGAGGGAAGGAATCACATCACTGTTGTTAAGTGACTTGTCCAAGTGCACATAGTGGTCTAGCCATTTCCTAAGGTCCCACTGCAGTTAGAAGCTTTTTTATCTTTTCACTGCCCAGATTCTGAGCAATTCCTAGGTGACGGTGTTGTGAAATTTGGAATGTAAGTAATAATGTGGTTACTCCTTCCCAGAAGCCCACAGGTGTTTATGGAGAAAGACTCATGAATTAAAGTCTTAGAATAGGCCTATGATACTGGAACCCAGAGGAGAACAGCCATGGCCATCTTGAGTTGTGGATGGAGAAATGGAGCATCTGAGGAGGGTTTCTGAGCCGGTACAGAAAGGATGGAATGAATGGGCACTGGGAGGAAATGAGGGCAGCGCAGGGGCGGGGATGAGCGAGGGCCTCAGCATGCAGGGTAGGGAGGGCAGGGTCTAGTTGAGATGGCATGGAGTTGGTATTGCTGGCATGTCTTGGACAAGTAACCGGTGTGTGTGTATGGGGAGAGCTAGCTGGAGGGAGCTAGGTCAAGGATGAAGGGGGCTCCCCCTGGTGTGAGCTTTTTTTTTTTTAAAAAAAAATTTTATTTCCCATTCATTCATTGTTGCACACTTTCCTCCCGCCCACTCCTTCCCCCACCTCAGTCCACTTTTCTCTTTGACAAGTAAAAAAAAAAAAATCTTTTATCGTTATATAATTCTCCCTTTCCCCAGTCCACTCCACTATGCCGTTTCATTCTGGACTCCTGTCATGACAGTAATACTTATCCATATAGTCCTCCTAAACAGTACTGTCCCTCATCTCTTTCAATGCAGTATATATTATCTCCTCTTAGTTCCCCCCCTCCAATGTCAGTCCTGCTTTACAACAGTGGCACTATGCAGTATTTGTCCTTTGTTACAGAGATATTTCACTCAGCACAATGCCCTCCAGGGTCATCAATTTTGTATAATATTTAATGAGTTCCTTGTTTTCCAGTGCAGCATAGTGTTCCATCCTGTGACTATACCACAACTTCTCTATCCATTGTTTTTTGATGGGCACTTGGGTTGTTTCCAACTCTTTGCTATTGTAAACAAAGTAGCAATAAACATGGGTTTTGCATATATCTGCTGGGTGGCAGTTGTGGTATATTCCCAGTAGTGGAATTGCTGGGTCAAATGGAATATCTATTTCCAAATCTTTGAGAAAACGCCATACCGCCATACTGCCTTCCACAGTGGTTGCAACATTTTACACTCCTACCACCAGTGAATAAGGGTTCCAGTTTCTCCGCAACCTCGCCAGCATTTGTTGTTTGCCGTTCTGTTAAATTTTGCTATTCTTACTGGGGTGAGATGATACCTCATTATTGTTTTGATTTGTTTCTCTCTTAGAGCTAGGGATTTTGAACATTTCTTCATGTGTGTGTGTTTGCCATCTGAATGTCTTCTTTGGTGAAGTGTCTGTTCATATCCTGTGCCCATTTTTCAGTTGGGTTGTTTATCTTGTTGTGGTGCTCTGGTGTGAGCTTTTATGGAAAAACCTCTCTTAAATCAAAGCCTGGGATTTAACTGAAACATGCAAAGTCAACTAGTAGGAGTTAGAAGGATGCAAGGATAAAATAGGATCCTTTCTGTTTTCCATGAAAAGTAAAGCTATTTCCTTCTGTTTGGTGGGTGGATTAGACTTTAGCGCAGGCCTCAGATCCTTCAGTTTTCTTAGTGAACAAGACTGATTTCCACAGCTGTGTTTATTGAAAAGGGCCTGGAAGAAATCTTTGACTTGGCTGCATTTGCTCCTGTATGTCACACAGGCTTTTGTATTGAATGATGAGAATGTCTGATGATGTTGACACATGCATACAATCAGTTTATCATCACTTAATTTTTTTCCTATGTAAGTATAAATTATCGTTCTTAATATTTCATAGATGTATATCAATATTTGACATTTTAAAAAGTCTGAGAACTTTAGTGTGGGATTTGATAAATTTTTATGTTTACCCTATCTTTTCCAAAATGATAAAGAACCCTGGTGCTCAGAGTGCATTGTGAAGTGGACTGTAACTGAAAGGTTAGTAGCTCGAATCCACCAGATGCTTCTCTGGAGAAAGATGAGTTGGTTTACACCTGGATGGCATAGTGGTAAGGAACTGCGCCGCGATCTCAAAGGAATGTGGTTCAAATCCACCAGATGCTCCGCAGGAGAAGGATGAGAAGTCTCCTCTTGTGGAACTGCCTGCCTCTGAAAACTCTCTGGAGGGTCAGTCTGCATCGGTTCCAACCTGATGGTATCCAACAGCAACAGCAATTGTCATTGGGTCAGAACGGACGTGTTAGCTGACTCTTAATTGGGTTTTTGGAGGCTGTGAATTGTACTGAAGGAGATTGTCCATCCTTCTCCTTCAGAGTAGCTGGTGGGTTCGAACTGCCTTTGTATTGACTGCCCAGCTCTCCTCAGAAAAGGCCACTTGTTTTTGTTACTTGCCATTCAGCTGAAGATGATTGCTAGTGCCCCTAACCGTGTCCTGTCCTGCATTGTCATTGTCCCTGACACACTTGAGCCCATCGTCACAGACACTGTATCAGTGTCTCTCTTTGCTGACCTTCCGCCTTTCCAAGCATGATGTCCTCTCCGAGCTCCCTGCTGAAGAATTACACCCTTGGAAACTGCCCTGGAGGATGCCAGCAGTTGGATTCAACCTGATGGTCGTGGATTTGGTTTTCTTGATTTCCAAAATATTAATGACTATATTAATGCCGCACCATGGTTGTTTTAGGGCTTTATTTTCAGTTTTTAAATTTTTCAAGTAATCTAGCAACAGATTGCAGATTTGCTTTTGACTACTTTGATGGCTTAGGGAGCTCTGGTGGCTGGGTGGTAAGGCATTTGAGCTGCCAGCGCAAAGGTATGTGGTTTGAAACCACCAGCTGCTCCACGGGAGAAATAGAGATAATATCTTCTTGTAGTGAACTGCCTCTGAAAACCCACCACAGGATCAGCTGTGGGTCGGTTCCGACTCGATGGCACCTAACAACCACAACACTTAGCAAAGTGAATTAGTGCACACATTTTGGTTTTTACTTTCTAAAATAGGCTTTTTGTTTGTTGTGAGAAGAACTGGGCATTAATTAGACACTGCCAGTGTGCCCAATGCAATATTAGGTCCAAGGGAAAAA